TTTATTTAAAATCTCTTTCCTCCTTCCCCCTCCCCTATACTATGAAAGTTGCAAGTCACCCCACTATGAGCACAGACATCAGGAATGTGTTAGCCGCAGACAGCGCACTCTCTTATCTCCCCGTGCTTCTCTGCCAAGTTACTTCTTATTATAAAGTCAGCAGATGTTACCTTGTGCAACTAGCACGCACTCACTCTGGTTCCCAATCTCCAGGCAGAAGCAGTGCATCTCCAGGTTTGCCACACAGAGAATTCACTGTTCCCACAACTGTCCTACTGGTTTTTTGCTGGAATTCTTTATTTTTAGCTACAGTACATTTTAGTCAGGGCAGATCCAATTATGGTTTCTTACAAACCAGCAAAAAGCTCCTTCAAGGTTCTCCTACTGGCATACTGGTGCCATCAGGACAGTTAGATTCCAGTCCAGGAGCACTTTAGAGACCCACGAGAGTTTCAGGGTAGAAGCTTTCGAGAGTCAAAACTCCCATTATCAGTTGGGGTTACTGACTCTTGGGAGGCATGTATTTGGCAGGAGGTGGGCCCTGGGCTGGGCAGAGCCAGCCAGACCACCAGTGTGGTGAGTGGGTGGAGTCCGTGTGCCCAGGGGCAAAGCTGAGGGGGAGGGGTCAAAGGACTGCACCCACAAAAAATGCTCTGTTCATCTAAGATACACAGCTATTCCATGCACCTACAAGGCCTCCCAAACAATACTTTGGACTTGTTTTTCAAGAATGTGTTCTAATGCTAAATGCTGAAGGTGTAATATCTTTAAGAAAAGGTGGCATTTGTGTGTGTTATGTATGTACACAAACTACATTAGTCTCACCTGCTTGATTATATTACCCTGTTTCCCCGAAAATAAGACCTACCCAAAAAATAAGCCCTAGCAGGATTTCTATGCATTTGTGGTATAAGCCCTACCCCGATAATAAGACCTAGTGATGAGAGTTATGACGATGTTCCAGAAGAAGATGACTTAACTGTATTTGAATAAATGTAGATTGTTGTATTATACTTAATAAAAATAAGACATCCCCTGAAAATAAGCCCTAGTGTGTCTTCTTGAGAAAAAATAAATATGAGACAGTGTCTTATTTTTGGGGAAACACGGTATATGGAAACTATCTGTCTTTGCACTGGGGGGGGGAGTTCTAACAAATAGTCAGATGATAAAGTGTGTGATGATATCAAACAGATGAGAGACAGACAGCACAGTGAGGTGGGCCAGTTACTGTCTGTCATATGCATTGATTGGGACTGGTATTTTCTTATAAGAACCACCACAGAAAGATTCAGGTGCAGAGAATGAAATTAGCTTTTTAATTATATTTAAATTAGTAACTAAAATACAGTATAAACAGGCAGGGGTCATTTTGTAGAAAAAGAGCTAGGGGAACTCATTAGCATAACTCATTAGCATATGCCACACTCCCTGACATCAGGGGCCCGGCGGTGGACCTGCAAGGCCGGCGGGAGTGCGAGGAAGCCCTGCCAAGGCCCTCCTTGGCCCCAGGCAGGCAGGGATGGGGAGAGGCGGGGAGGAAGCAACTTACCCTCCCTCTTCTCCTGCCTCCTCCTAGCTGAATGAGGGCCGGAAGCAGGGCGGCCGGAAGCGGGGGGCGGGGCTTCATCGTGTGCCCCGACCCCCGCACCTCACCCGGGGGAACTGCGATCCCCCGCGATCCCCCCCGAAATGACCTCTGAAAACAGGTATCATATTTATACCCTGCTCTTCACTACCCAGAGGAATCTCAGAGCAGCTTACAATTACCTTCCCTTCCTCTCCCCACAACAGACACCCTGTGAGGTAGGTGGGGCTGAGACTGAGAGAGTTCTGAGAGAACTGTGACTGACTCACGGTCACCCATCTGGCTTCATGTGGAGGGGGGGGGAATCAAACCCGGTTCTCCAGAGTAGAGTCCACCGCTCTTAATCACTACACTAAGCCAGCTGTCATATATCTAGAATCCCAAACTAGATAAAAGGATTCCGTATATGCCTCGTTTTCTTCTTCTGTTTCACTGCTAAAGCATCCATTTCAGCTAGGCCACCCTAATAAACCATTTCAATATCCATAGGAGTGGTAGGGTTCTTCTAATAGTGTGCCCAACCTTTCTTGGAGGCAATTAATAGATTCTACAGCAGAAATTTAACTGTTCCTTGATAACCTTCGTCAAAATAATATCTCTAGAAAAGGTGCCACAAAAATCTAGCCTGTAACATGTTCTGCATATATCAGAAATAAAGGAATCTACCTCATGTTCTGCAACCCAAGGTCAATAGTATATGTGGATAAGATCTCTTGAGCCACGCTAATTGCCAAGATGTGGCTATATCAACACCTGGAGGATGTTAGCTGCCTCCCACAGGCCTTGAGTTTTTCACTTATGTTTTTTGTGTGGTTACATATTCATATCCATGGAGAAAGTAAGAGAGCTTTGCAGGCACGAACCAATATTGTGTGCATATGGAAGTTAATAATGTTGCCTCTAGGTCCCCAAACTACTCCATCTCCCCAGAGTCTTGCCTATTTTAGACTTTTCTGGATCTTTCGTTAGCCACGGATGCATAGACGCAGGACTCAGGGCCTGCGTGTTGACTTGCTGGCTGCTCAGTTTTCAATGCATGTTGGTTCAGTTCAGCATAAGTGACTCCATCATAGTCTGCTCTGTCATCCTGGCCCATTCCAGCATTTTGTTCTAGGAGCGTTCCAGCATTTTGTTCTAGGAGCTATAGAAGAGAGACAAAGAGACTTAGGGTGCCGATCCTTTTATGGCTTCCTCCACAACAATTGCAACAGAAGAAAATGAGCTCTTGAGGAATCTTCAGTGATCACTTCAGGACAGGGGGTGAGTGATGTAAGTCTAGAAGTTGTTGGCCTTCTATCCCTAACCCCATTCAAAAGTATCCCACAGCTACAAAAAAGTGCTGCCAAGAAGGATCATATATATTGGCATGTAAGGGTACCTAAGGGTACAGACTTAATATAGTCCTTATTAACGCTGTTACAGTTACATTAAACTACTTTCCACTTTAATTGCCAATGCTAAGCAAACAGGACAGCTTTCAGGTTGACACCTGAGGTAGATAGAA